GAACGGTTTAGTGACTGCAAATCAATCAACATAACATACCACATTAACAAACTGAATGATAAAAATCACATTATGAAAATCTCAACAAATGCACAAAGAGCATTTATCAAATTTAACATGTATTATGGTAAAACTCTCAATGATGATATTGAGGGTACATACCTCACAGCAATACATGACAATTCCATAGCTAATAACATCACACTCAATGGTAAAACGCTAAAAGCTTTTCCTCTAAGATCAGGAACAATACAAGGATGCTTACTCTTGCCACTAGTATTGAAGAATAGTGTTGGAAATTCTATATGAAACCATTCAGCTATGAAAAGAAAGAAAAGGCATCCACATTGGGAAGCAAGAGGTAAAATTGTCTTTATTTGCATATGACATGTTCTTATACATAGAAAGCCCTAAAGGCCACCACATAACTGTTAGAATTTATAAACCAATTTAATAAAATTGCAAGGTACAAAATCAAGTTCCAAAAGTCAGTTGCATTTCTGTATACTAATATTGAATATCCAAAAAGAGAAAATAATAAAATAATTCCATTTATTATTGCATCAGAAAGAATGAAATACTATGAATAAATTTAACCATGAAGGGGACAGACTTGTACACTGAATACTATAAGACATTAATGAAAAAAAACTGAAGAAGATAGAAATAAATGGAACAATATTTAGTGTTCATAGATTAGAAGAAATAACACTGTTAAAGTGTCCCTACCACTCAAAGCGATCTGGACACCTATTGCATACCTGTCACAATTCCAATGGCATGTCTCACAGAAACAGACAAAAAAATACTACGATATGTATGGATATGTATGAAACTACAAAAATCTCACATAGCCACAATGAGATACTACTTCACACTGGTGAGAATGGCCATCATAAACAAATTAACCAACAAGCGTTGGAGAGGTTGGGAATAAAAGGGAACCCTAGTGCACTGTTGGTGGGAATGCAGACTGGTGAAGTCACTGTGGAAACCAGTATGGAATTTCCTCAGAAAACTAAAAATAGAACTGCCTTTTGACTTAGCAATACCAGTGTTGGGATTATAACCTGAGGATCCTGAAACACTAATTCAAAAGAACCCATGCATCCCAATGTTCATAGCAGCCCAATTCACAATAGCCAAGTGCTGGAAGCAACCAAAGTGCCCATCAGTAAATTAATGGATGAAAAAACTATGGTACATTTACATAATGGAATACCATGCAGCAGAAAGAAGGAGCTCCTACCCTTTGTGACAGCATAGATGGAACTGGAAAGCATTATGCTAAGTGAAATAAGCCAGGCAGTGAAAGACAAATACAATATGCTCACCTTTAACAGGAACCTAAACAAAACAAATAAGCAAGTAAAATACAACCAGAGACATTGAAATGACCAATCTCACAGTAAGCAGAGAGGAGGAGGGAAAGGGATAATGGGGTATTGGAAGGGTATCAAGGAACATGTATAAAGGACACAAAGACAAAGCCAAAGAGGGTGGGTTTGAAGATGGGTGTAGGGATGGGTGGGGTAGCAGGTCATGGTGGGATGAAATGGGAACAAATGAACTTGAAAAACAATTAAAAAATAAAATTTAAAAACAAATTTTAAAGTTTCATATAGTCAAAACAATCTTTTTTTGCATTTTCTTTTTAAATTTTATTTAGTTATTTTTCAAGCACAGTTTTCTATTTCTCCCATCTCAGCCCACCCCACGCCATGCTCCCCACCTCCCTCCCATTTCCACTCCCTTTAGTTATTGTCCCTGTGTCCTTCATACTTGTTCCTCTAAATCCCTCCCATTTTTCCCCTTAAATTCCTTCCCCTTTCCCCTCTAGTCGCTGTCCCCTTGTTGTCTATTTCAGTGTTTTTGTTTTTATTTTGCTTGCTTGTTTGTTTTGTTGTTTAGCTTCCTGTTAAAGGTGAGATCATATGGTATTTGTCTTTCAACACCTGGCCTATTTCACTCAGCATAATGCTTTCCAGTTCCATCCATGTTGTTGTAAAAGGTAGTAGCTCCTTCTTTCTCTCTGCTGCATAGAATTCCATTGTGTATATGTACCACAATTTTTTGATCCATTCATTTTCTGATGGGCACCTAGGTTGCTTCCAACTCTTGGCTATTGTAAATTGTGCTGCTATGAACATTGTGGTGCATAGGTTCTTTGAAATTGATGTTTTAGGTTCTTAGGATATAATCCTAGCAGTGGAATTGCTGGGTCAAAACAATCTTGAAAAAGAACAAAGATGAAGGCCTCATGCTTCTTGATTTCAAATTGTATTGCACAACTACAATAGTCAACACAATATAGTACTATCATAAAAAAGACAAGCCACATAGAAAAATGAAACAGAATAGAGCCCAGAATAAGCCCATGCAGATATGGTGAATTAATTATGACAAAGGAGCAAGGACTATACACTGGGAAACAAATAGTTTCCTCAGTGAATGGTGCTGGAAAAATCTAACAGCCATATGCAAAGAATGAAATTAGACTACTATCTTACATTATGCACACACAAAAATTAATTCAAATGAATGGAACTTTATCAAAAGATTCTGCACAGCAAAAGAAACAAAAAAGGCAATCTAACGAATTGGAAGAAATATTTACTAGTCATACACCTGATAAGGGACCAGTATCTAAAATTTGTAAAGAACTCATAAAACTCAGCATCAAAAAATAAATAATCCAGTTAAAATGGGCAGAGGATCTGAATAGACTTTTGCATATAAGACATATAGATGGCCAACGAGCACATGAAAAGATGCTCAACATCACTAATTATTAGAGAGCAGCAAATCAAAACCACAGTGAATATCACCTTATACTTGTTAGAATGTCTATTGTCTAAAAAACAGGATATAAATGCTGGCGAGGAATATGGAAAAATGAGAAGCCTTGTACATTTTTGGTGGGAATGTAAACCAGTCAGCCACTATGCAAAAAGTATGGGATTCCTCAAAAATTAAAAAAAATAGAACTATCATTATTTAGAAATTTTACTCCTAGGTATTTATCCAAAGAAAATGAAAACACTAACTGGAAAAATATCTGCACTCTCATGTCTGATACATCATTATTTATAATAGCCAAGATGTGAGAAACATGTAAGTTTATATCAATAATGGAATTTTATTCAGCCATTAAAAAATCAAACCTTGCCATTTGCAAAAACATGGATGGGCTGTGAAAGCATTACTGTAAGTGGAATAGACCAGGCAGAGAAAGACAAATACTGCATAGTATCACATATGTGTGGAATCTTAAAAACAAAAAAAACCTCAAATAAACAGTGTTTGCAGGGGCTGGTGGTAAAAGGGTAAAGTCTGAGGACCTAAAAAAAAACATGGTGACTATAAGTGATGACTATGTTAATAACACTGTAAAATTGAAATTTGCAAAAGGAGTAGATATTAAATATTTTTACCAAAGGAAAAAAATTAATATGTGAGATGATATATGTGAATTATCTTGATGGGGGCAATCCTTTTATACTATTATATATGAAGTCACCACAATGTACACTTTAAATATCTTACAATTTTATTTCTCAGTTTTAACTCAGGAAAGCTGAATTTAAAAAGAAACATTTTCACATTTAAAAAGTGTGAGTAATTAACACATTTGTTCAATTTCAAGCTTTGGGACTAGATTAGATCACCTAGAAAGAAAGTGTAAAGAAGAAAACAAGGGTGAGAACTCACTCCTGAAAAAATCTCACATGCAGGGATCATGAAAAGAAGAAGGTCAGGCCAAAGAGAGTAGGATGAACTAGAATGAAGTGTGGAAGAAAGATGCAGAAGAAAATAAGTCAAGGAGAGACTACTTATTGTACATTGTCAAATGCCCCTGAAAAGTCAAATAGGAAGAGGGCTAATTTATAATGATTCTCTTTAGATTTAGAGCCTATCTTGGACAAATTACATTTTTGTAATAGGTTATTTTATCTCAGACTTCTCTTGAACAAACAAAAAAAGATCTGCTACCTTAAAATACAATTCAAGGAAGAAATTGTACTTGTTCACTGGGTGGCAGGCACTGTATTAAATACCAGTGAGCAAAATGGGTCTGTGATCTATTCTCTGGGATTTGTCTTTATATAGTTATTTCAAATAGAATATGTATTTACTTGCTTTCTTAAAACTTTCTTACATAAATTATTTTGATTATTGGAAGTTGAACCTTGGATTAGTAAATTCTTAAATGATGTTTAGAAAAATAATTAGAAAACAGGGTATTCTATTAAATTCAATATATTAAAATGAATTAAAGAATGTAGAAAATGTTACAGAGTACAGAACATAGGAATAAAAGAGAGATAATAATTTTGCATTAGTAAGGAACATAATGAGTCACACCTAGACACTGGGTAATTGAATGAGTATATTTATTGCATTCATGGTTTTTTAAACAAAACTTGATAGCTTAGCTCCTTTTTTGAGGATGGATGTTTTCAGAGTGTACTTTCACTTAAGGTTCAAATACATTATTCTTTTTATTTTAACTGTTGATGAAGGTCCAGATGCTACATGTACAGTATCATATGTTCACCTTTGGAATGGACGTAAGGGATATGGAAAGTAGACGTTCAGTTCTCAAATTTATTTATTCTACCCATTAAAAAAATTGCCTAATTGAGCATCGTTGCTAGTATCATAATTCATGGGAATTTTAAAATATACTATGAAATTTTATTTTTAGTTCTTATATTTATAAATATATAGGAACACTTGATCTTATGAGTGTTTTTTTGAATTTAGAAATTGGCATATTACTCAAAACAGCATTCACTGTTAAAATATGTTCTTTTACTATCATCACACTCTACAGTAAAGTTATAAAGCATTCTTCAAACAGTAAACTCTAGGAGAATATAATTTATTTGGATTCAAATTAAAGCAGTTTTATAAGGTGAGTTCAGAAGTGGACTAAACGTGAAATATGTCTCACTAAATATTTTTCAGGATTTTTCTTTTTCCTTTATTTCCAACAGGAGGATTATACCGACTGTGGTGGCGTTTCTGGATTAAATCCCTCCCTGTGGTCCATCATTGGAATCCAGTTTGTCCTTCTTTGGCTTTTATCTGGCATCAGGCACTGCCAGTTATGACCTCCCAAAGCCAAATCTGCATAATTAAACTCCAGACCCTGCCAAAACATGAGCCCACAAATGCATTAACATAGGGTCAACCATGGAATCAGCAGAGCATTAGCTGGGCCCATAACATGGCATAAAACTAAGGCGCAGACTCCTAAGGCACCCACTGGCTGCATGTCAGGGTGCCAGATCCTTCAACTCGTGTGAATGTTGCATCATCCGTGTATAACATCAAAGCAAAATTTTATATGTGCTCTACTGGAAAATTCGAGAGTTTGTTGTTGCACTGTATGTGATTAATTGTAAAAGGGCTCCCCACACAACTGTTTATGAAGCATAAAAATTGTCTTGATTTTGACCTGGAAATTTGACTTAACTGCAATCCTTGTTCTTTTACCAAGAAAATCTCTAGGGGAAAAGAAGTTTGTTTGGTTTTTTTTGCCTCCCTTATTCTGTTACAAATTATTTTCTGTTTTGAGTAGTTATTATTGAAAATATATAGATAGAGAGAGAATTAAAAGGGATGTAATCTTTTGAAATAGATATAATGGCCAATTTTCTATTTTAAAAAATTGCCATGAATAAAATGCCTTATGAAGAATGGCTTCTCTGCCAAAAATATAACATAAATGATGACCAATTAAGTTTTGGTGGGGTGATAAATTGGTTGCTTGGAAATAACTAAGAAATTATTAAACTAAAGGTGCTTGAGGGTGAAATTTGAATATGTGACATATTTCCTCATACATGTAAGCCCTTAATAAGTGCTTCAGTGTAATGTTCCTTTTGTTCACAGTAAAGTTATGTAGTGCTAGCCAGATATTTCAAAATGCTCTAAGAAAAGCTTGTTGGGGGAGGGGAAAATGTTTTTCTTGTGATAAATGAACTTTGGTTACCAAGGGTATTTTGCATGATGCTGCTGCTATTTTAACTTTTTGTTTTTCTCTTACTGTAGAGGATAGTCCATTGAAAAGTTACATGAGTGACATTACTATTATGTAAGAATTCGAACCTTACAGTGTAATGCACTTAAGTCATCTTTAACAATGTTGTTAAGCTACTCTGAATATACTGTGCAATGTAAATGCTGAATGATTGGGTTAGATCAGTGGCAAAATGGGAATTAACAGATTTTATACAGATTCGTGCTTTTGCCTGAAAGCCTATGTACAGATATTTTAAGTACATAAATCAGAATTGACACATTTATTTTTGAAAAGTACATATATGTTCTCAATGAAGATTCATCCTAGGTTTCCTCTTTGTTCATTTGAATAGTGGCATGTACAACCCCAAATCTCTACTGCTGCTGCTGCTACTCTCCCTCCATTTTAAACGGCGTGATCACTTGACCAAAATGTCCAAGCAGATTGACGAGGGTTTTACAATAATCTGAACAAATAGGAAACCTTGAATCTATATGTATGCACATGAATACTTGATTATGAATAATCAGAATTGTTTTTATACAGCCTCATTGGTAAAAGTGGTTAGCATAGTGAATCAGATATTTCATTATAGATTAATATGGAAGCAGAATATTATTTATGCTTTTAAAACTTATTTTCAGGAGTAAACAGTATTTGAAGAGAGGGTAAAAACAATGAATGTAACCCTAGTTATAGTGAATAATTCTGCTGAAGGCTGGAAATATGCAGATATTTTTCATGGTAAAATGCATTTGTTATTTTTTTTTGAACATGCCAAATACTGGTTTGTGTATATGCTGGAAATTATCTTATATATCCTTTTTAAGTCAAAATCTTATTACCATTATCCAGCATGCTTTAGTATGCTCACATATCAACATATAACCAATTCTTTAGCATAGCTTAAAAGATATATTTGTTTTGTCTTTAGCTTCGCACACATTTGTAATTCCTACTGCCAATATACCCTAGGTACCATTTGCATACATTTCCTTACTTAAAATATTTTTATTTAAAAATGGGGGAAGGGGGAAGTGGATTCACTTTGCCAACTGTTGTTCTAAGAGTTAACATCAGTTACCATTTCTAATGCATTGTTGTGATTTTGTAGTCTCATTTGTAACTGGTATTGACATTTTAGAAAACACCAAAGTGATTTAAAAAATATGGAACTTCTCACTCTAGTAGCTATGTTTGAGTCATGTTGTTTGTTAATTCAATATTTAAATCTTATTGTTAACTTTTGCTAGACTATTTTAAATCATGAAAGTGTTGGGAAGGGGATACAAAAATATTAAATTATGTTAGTTTGTGTATATAAGCAACACGTTAAAACAATTGAATTGCTTCCAGCATACAACAAACTACCTTAAAATTATCTTTAAAACCTATTAAATATATTTTCATGGCTAATGTCACTGAAGTAGTATGTATTCATCAACTACTTTATTGTTGTATTAATCACAGTTAAACTTGGCATCTCTTGGCAGGGTCCTATTTGATTTCACATGCCATCAAAATATACTTTCATGCATGAGTCTTGCTGTGATCCTTTACTTTTGCTATACAATAAGCTAATATATTAGGACAACCACCTGATTATAAATTGGGTAAGAACGTGCACTCTAAAACTTGTTCTGAATCCTAATACTACTTTCATGCCTTTAGTAGACTTACTGTTTTGTAAGACAGTAACACTCAGCCCATCATATTGTTATGTTAATTTAGGATTTTTCTGTGAGTTCTAATTGTTGACAAGAGCTTAAATTATAGCACATTATAAACATTGATTTTCAAAGACTAAACCGAACAAGAGATCAAGAAAAGAACTTTTAAAACCTTCACTGATTTAATTTTTGCTACACTCATGCAGCTTTGTGTAGTTTGTCATTAAAACAAATCTAAATAAGTCTTGCATTGGTGTTGAGTTACAGGAGCAAGTTTTGCATTAATAGTTTTCTTCATTTGAACAACCAGCATTACTGCCAAACACCAATCGTGGTCCATATTTGTAACAGGTTTTTAACATGACATAGCAAGTTTGATTGAAGAGATTTTTAGGTCCTGGGCCTATAAGATTTTAGTGTGATCTTTTTTCATGTTTCTAATGCTTGAGGCATTATTGCTTAACTTGGAAAAAACGAAACAGTGTTGCTGCCATTTGTAAATTTTCTTATGATATTCCTTTTATTAACTTTAAAACTGGCCTTACTGGGTTCAAATAGGCAGTATCCCTTTTAAGTGGCCTTTGCAACCCGAGTGTTACTTGCTTATTTGATGCTCTCTTGTATCTCCATCTTATTTAAATCTTCGTCTCCACCAAAGCTTAAATTCTGTCTCTTAATTTAAAACTCTAAACTAGTTCATTGATCATGTTAGTTAACATTCAAGTGTCTAGAGGTATAGGGTTTAACCCAGTGAAACAAATGGGTGTAGTGATTTTTTAAGTGTAACATAGAATGATTGATTATTCCACTTGCTCACATTTTCAAATATTTTATTGTTATCTGGAACTTGTGTCATTTTCCCATAGCAGAATGTTAATATTGCTAATAATCGGTGTGCATTTGTATAAGAAGCAAATCAAGAAATCAAATGTATCAACTGTTGAAAAAAATCCAGAGCTTTGAAGACTTAGACAACCCTTACCAATAATTTCATGTACCTTATTTGAAAAACTCACTCAAAGAAATTCCTCCGAGACTAATGGGATACTGTCTTGTATAGATGCCAACTGAGTTTACAGTGTGACCTGACAAAGCTCTCTTTTCTGTTGTGCTGTACGATTGTTGGATCATGCTTTTTAGGGTACTTTTATTAAAACGCTCAGTGTGCATCCATGCAAAAGGCCAAGTGGCTTTGTGGACAAAAGATCTTTTCTCCCATTTATTATGTTCTCTTGACACTTTTGTGGAAATTAACTAGCCTGATAAAAACATTTTGTAAAAATTTGTATGATACTGTTATAAAAATATTTATAATCCCAGAAAATGTTGTGTTAAATCTTGTGCAAAAACAGTATATTCAGAATAAAAGTTTATCATTTAAAGTCATCACAGTTTGGGTTATTTAATTCTTTAACATCCAGTGGAAAGAAATGGTGGTCTTTGTCATAAATGTATTTTACGAAAGCCACTTTCCTGTGGATAGAAATTCTAGATTGTGGACATAAAAGTTGGGATTGGAAAGCACTTCTAAATCACAAACCTCAACTCAGAAATAAACAAATGTACTTGCAACTTCTTCACATAACTCCGATCCTTCTCACATGTGTTTTTGCCATCAAGTCATTTAGAAACTTATTAAATCAGACTTTGGACTTCTATTGTTTAAAAAAAAGCCCAGGAAAAATATTATTTGTTTCTTTAAAGAAACTGAAAAAATAATTTGAACGAAACCTGTTAGAATATCTGAACTATGCATACCTTTTATTACACCTGACTAACATTCAGTTATTTCTGCTATTTTACACCAGCTGACACAATGAAGTCTACTGTGAGGAGTTTTTCAAAACACTTGTGAGTGAGGTCCCTTTTACCAGTTTGCCACCTGCTGCCCTTTGCTCATCCAATAATAAACTAATGAGCCTGATACTGTGTGGAATATAGTATCGTGGAAGCCTACTTTTCTTCAGGGGACTCCCATGAGAAAGCAAAAATAGCTGTATGTGGAAGGAATGTGGTACGTGGATATCAGTGTCCGTGGTTACTCAGTTTCTGATCAAGGCATTTTAACAGGACAAACCCCACTTAAAAGTGTAAGGTAGATAACATTTGCTTTTTGAACCTCTGGCTCCATTCTGTACCAGTTTATCTCCTCAATCAATCCTGGACCTTCGTTTCCTCTATCAATCATCTGGATGCCACCCGCACCTCTTCCCTAGAGACCCGATGTCATCAAACCTCCCTTCTCAAGCACATTCAGCCCTCCCTCTCTGCAGACTTACTTCCCTCCTCTGCCTGGGAACACAGAACATGTCTAGCAAACAACGATCACACTTCCACTGCTGTCCAGGAGCCCTGTTACTTTGTAGACTCTTACAGCTAGCGTTAAAATTGTCCTTTGTACGTCTGCAGACACATTTTGGTAACCAGTTTCTGTGCAACATACTCAGCTAGGCTTTAGAATTTTAGTTCAGAAAGGCATATTATTATGTCCCAAGTTTTGGGCTACTACCAAAAAATTTTGATGACTTACATGAGGTAAATGAATTTAATGCCTTGGGCTTTTTTTGATTCTCAATTTTTTTGTATTTTAAAGTGGAGTTATCCACAGACCACCTTCACAATTTTCTATAAATTGGAATATAATTGACAATGTTATTTTTTAATATTTTCTATGTAAATTGACTCATTTTTAATGAGTCAAATGTAATATTACTTACATAATTAGAAAACCAATATAATTTGCTATAATTAGGTGTGCCACATTAAAATAGGCTCCTATCTATTATAATGAATCAATAAAACTACTCAGTATATGCCAGTACAAATGTTCTAGATTTAACATACTTCTTCGACATATTGTAATGATGGATTAGTCCATTTTAGTATCTCTGCCACTAATGTTTTCAATGTAAGCCAGGACTCAAACAATGTATAAAATTGCAATTATTAATACATTAAAATATATTTATCAAAATGCACAGTAAATTTTTCAGAATTTTAGTTTTCTTAAATGGACAACTTTTTAAATGTTTTATCATAATCATAACAGTTTTTGAGTACCTTAGGATTCACTCTAAATGTCTTTAAAGTTTACTTGTAATACTCATTCACATAAGGATAATGTATAATGAACCTAGGTTTGAATGAGACTGCTAATTTATTGGGAAGTATTGATCTTTTCCAGATATTATCTTTTCTCTAATTGTTTAGCTTAAGCAAAAGGAATCTTTCTCTTGTGAAATTATGGGATAGTTGATAATAACTTTTAAATAGTGAAATTGTTCACAAGTCTATGTCAAGTTATTATTGCTGATACTTCAATCCCTTTTATTAATTTCAAAGTCATACTGATCCAAAAAGTTCCTAAATGGGATGACTACTGCCCTAATTGTCATTATGAAGGCAGTACAGCCAAATAGTAACTGCAATCTATTGCTTATATTTGGACCTTCCTTTACCATTTAATAGCTTTGGAACCATGGGCAAACTACATCATGTCTCCAAGCCTCAGTTTCCTTATCCATGAAACAATATAAAACTAAATACATTATAGGGCTGCCATAATGACTAAATGATATATTTAATGTATAGCCCTTAGCATAGGACTGAGCAATGAGTAAGCACTCAACAACACCATCTATCAGTATTATGAATTGTTTCCACAGTCATTTTCCTGGTCATCATAATCATCATTTTTGGCTGAAGCTTTTAAGACCCTAATATCTGCACCATTTGTCACTTAAAACATTTACTCATTCATTTAACTAAAGTGTTAACATTTAACTGAAGTGTTACAAGTAATGCTTATACAAGAATTTTTTAAAAATAGTCTCTTTATGGAACTATTGACTGTGAATATAAAAAATGTAATAAGCACTTACAATAGTATAAGGTTAATGCTATTATGTAGGAAATAAATATTATTGGAGCTTACTGTAGGGTAATCTAGATGGACTGAGCTGGCCAGAGAAGGCTGCCATGACTTTGAGATGAGGGAAAGAGGTAGGAGTACTGTTAAAAATAAAGGAGAGTGTGCGAATACTAAGGTGCATTCAAGGAACTGGAAGTAGCTGAATATGAGTTCAGTTTGGCTTGAGGGGTGGGCGTTGCATAGAGAGATGAGATACAAGATGAGGGTGGAGAGACAAAGGGTCAGAGTCTGGGGTCCTCTGTGGACCACATGGGGTATTTAGGCCATCGGAAGCTGCTAAAAATTTTAAAACAGGGAACAGTATTATCAGACTTGAGTTTCAGGAAAACTACTCTGAATGAAATATAGAGTTTTGGTAGATGGACACTAGTAGGAAGGGAAATCAATTGAGATACCACGTTGACTGGCATAAGATGATAGAGAAAAATGGATCAACTTGAGAAATACTTAATAGGGAAAAGAGAGAAGATTTCATGATTTACTCATTGTTGTTCTGAAAGAAAGAAAAAAAACATTAGCATTATTCCCAGGGTTCTGAAATTTAACATTGTGACTAGGGGTTCAATTCCCAAAGTTAGGGAACATTAGAGAATGCTTGGGGCAGGGTTGAGATAAGGTAGGACAAATCTGGAGGGCATTGCACTTTACAAATATTGTGGGTGAGCTCTTTGTGCAGTGCTGAGGACACAAAGGTGGGAGGACATGATTTCTACTGCACAATGATATGTATGCCAAGATAATGAGAAAGGACATGTTTGTCTGTTTTGATATAAATACTGGTACCTGGGACCCGCTCTATTTCAGAGTCTCAGGTGGTTCTACTGGGCAGACTATATGACAATACCTGGGGTTAGGTAACAATTCTGATTACCTTATAAATTGAACTCTATAAAACCCTACTTAGATGTACATTATTGATTCAACTTTAAATGAATCCCCTTTGGACATATTTTTGGGAACATACCCTATGATTCCAACTCAAATGAAATCTTTTTGAGGACTGTACTTTTTAATGTTATTTTTCTTTCTAGATCCCAATTACACAGCTGTATACAGCCAATAATCAATAAAGTTCTCATTGACTGTGGCTGATAAAACAAGGCTACTCTTGGGATGATTATTACTACTAGAAATTTTATTCCTATTTAAGTCATATTAATGCTATCAAATGTCTCAGAGTTGAACCACAGATTTCTATAAATATTATCAGAGCAACATGTCGATCAGGTTCATTCTTATGGTAAATGACACTGCAAATCAGAATAAAATTAGGAAATTATATTTTAATCTGGTTTTTATACATATTATATTTAAGTAATGACTATTCCTTAACAAAATAAAAAGCTAATCAAAACTTTTAAAACCCACTTAAAACATGAATATTTCTGATTGATTTCAGACCACCTGGGTATGCAGAACCTCAGCGAAATCATGCTGAAGCCAGAGAGCCCATGTGGCATATGGTAGAGATTTAGTCTCTGCCAGCAGGCTGCCTGGGTCCACATCCCTGCTCCCCGACTTGGGCATATTATATAGCAGCATCTCTGTCTTTCTTTTCCTTGTCTGTACAGTTTATACCATTGACTCCATAAATATTCGTATATGAAAATACTGATAGCAGTCACTATCAAATAGTTGTTAAGGCCTCTACTTCTTTTGTTGTTTGTTTCTGAAAGTTTTTCCCCCATTTCCACTCAGTCTCCTTATACCTCCTCCTCCCACAACCACCACACTGAACACTGTTGTCTGTGTCCATGAGTCCTTTTTTCCTTTTTGCTCAATCCCTCCACCCACTCCCCTGTAGCTGTCATCCTTCTCTCTATGAGTCTGTCTCTTATCTTAGAAACGCAATCATTCTGACGCTATCATTCCAGAAATGATTTAGAGAAATTTGGCATCAAGAAGATTCCAAAGGTATGAGGAATGTTGTCAGAATTTCAAATTATATAATGAAGAGGATGATGATGATAATGATAAACGCAAAGCATAGAAGATCAAAGGGAGAAAATTCATCCAAAAATTACATTAAGAAGCATATTACTAACTCTAAGAAAATATTTTGCTGTAGAGGATCTTGGTAATAAGAAGCTGATGGCAAGAGGGGAAAAAAGGGTCTAGTGGAAACTGAACAGGATTTAGTTACTGGACTGGGAGGAAGGTAAATGGAAGATCCAAACTGTCCTGGATATTTTTGTTCAAATCTCAGAAACAATTATACCAACATCTTTGATGAATATAGATGCAAAAATTATTCCCCAAATATTAGCAGACCAAATTTGAAAGCACATTAAAGGGAGTATACACCATGACCAAGTAGGATTTATCTCTGGGATTCAAGGACACATCAACATACATAACATTAATAGAATGAAAGATAAAATCTTAGGATCTCATTTGCAGGTAATGTGTTTAACAAAATGTAGTATGACAGAAGCCTCTTTTTTTGGTTAAAAAA